ACTGGCCCTCATATGTGGGATCTGAACCGGGGCCCTCTGGCGTCCCAAGCCAGCTCTTACCCAACGCGCCACTTGGCCGGCCCTGTCCTATGTTTTTAACAAGATACCTGGCCCGCTGTGTGGAAACCTGGCACCTGCCTGCTCATCATGCCAGGCTCCTGGTGCTTGTTGAGCACCTTCTCTCCCTTCATACCCTCACCTGCCCCTCCACAGCCATATCCTCTGCAGGGAAACCTGCTCCATTAGCAGCAGAGCGCGTGCTCACTGCTGGAGAAGGTACGCCCTATCAGGTCTCAGGGAGGGAGTGCTGAAGGCCTCCTCTCCCTCCTACAGTGCCCTGGTCTGGCTCCTTTCCCAGCCCCAAACACTCTCTCAATTTTCCATAATTGGGATGGTCACATGGATAAAAGAAGTTAGAGGGAAGACTGGCGAGTCAGTCCAGAAAAGCTTCCTGCCTGGGTACCTCATTGCTGTCCTCTGGATCCAACATCCTATTAGTTAATGGTGGCAGTGTGGGCACTGTCACTTGGGGGCCACTACTTTCTGCTCACTCCCCTGGGTAGTCCTGTCCAGGGCTGTTGTTGAGTACAACAGGGGTCGCCAATCACATGCGTTCTGTTTCCTTCTGGCAGTTTAATTTCCATCCTTCCTCTGCTCCTCTAATGGGTGACACACCCACTTTGGAACAATCTGGACATCCCGAAATAGGGACCACAGATTCAGGAATGTAGAACAAGCATCCCAGGTTCCATCCCATGTGGCCAAGAAGACGGCAACCGCTGGATGCCACCCCACAGACCTGTCCCGTCCTCACCCATGGGGTGTTACCAGTGCCTGGATACCAAGATCTGGGATCCACATGCCTCAGACTCTTGAATGTCCAGAGGTGATGACCCTGCCATCCAACCCTGACCTGGAAGGAGCTGGAGGGAAACTAGGCTGACCTAAGGGAGGCCAGCGACTTCAGCTGAGAGGTGGACAGCAAGAAGCTCACTCAGGCTGGCAGCGCATGCAGGGACAGCCAGGTTGCCAAACAGGCCAGCCCTATAGGTGGCCCAGTTACTCCTCTCCCCAGATGCTAGTCACTGAGCTCTTAGAAGGCATTGAAGCACATGGTTCAAAGCTTGGGTTCTGGGGGTCAGCTGGCCTGGGTTCGAATCTCTTCTGTTATTTCCTTTATGTAGGCAAGGTTTTTCCTCTAGGAGCCTCCATTTCCTACCTGCAGAATGGGTTTACCTCCCTGGGTTGTTATAAGGGTTTAGTGAAATCACTTACTGCGTGGCAGTAATTATTACTGCTTGACGTTGTAGCATTTGTTCCTAGGGGCCTAAGCCCTAAGCTCTTGCCTTCCCTTCCCTTCTTAGTTTCTTTCTGTTCCCTGGACCAGCCATCCAGGGGATGTGGAACCTCCCTGTGGCACCATTATGCTAGACCAGGCTAACCTCAAACAGTTGATTCAGTGCAGGATGTTTTTAATGTAGGGCATATGTTTTCTTGGGGTGTTTGCACTGTCGCAGCCCAACCTGGGGATGGGACCACCTGGAGCCTTGATAGCCTTTTCATGCTGGCAACTCTATGAATTCACGAAATCCATATTATTGTCATTGCAGGGCCACCACCTTGGCTCCAAAATCAGCAAGAAGTTCCTTGTGGGAGACCGCAATGTCACTTGCAGGTCGTGCAGTGTCGTATCACCAGGGGGCGCTGCCTAGCTGGGTTCTCTTCCCAATTCTCAAGGAGGCTGAGTGAAGGCAGAACTGGAAGTCAAAGGTTTGAAGCTTAGGCTAGGGGCCATGGGCAGGTAGACTGGACTTTGAAGGTATGCCACCTGGCAGGCTTGGAATGGCAACAGGGACCCTTCGCATCACTTGGGCTCTTTACAGGTTGCCTCCTGTTCCTGTAAATGCCATTTCATCTTATGACTAAAGGGATAATGCCCAGATAACGAGATGGGGCTCAGAGAGGTGAAGGGGCTGCTGAAGGCAGCTGAGATCAGTGGCAAAGCTGAGATCCCTCCTAGGCTTACCTCAACCCAGGGGCTACAGCATTTGATCAGCAGGAGAGGAAGCATGGTGAGGGGGCAGGAGGGTGTCCTGGGAGACTGAAGCCGGGTCTGTGTCCCACTCTGCCTCCACCCAGCGCAGCTGACCATTCCTATCCACTTCCTTCCCCTCCTCCCACCCCGTGGGATCTCACAGAACGTCTCCTCTATTTGAGGCAGTTGGTAAGGGGCTCAGGATAAACATGAGTGAAGACCTCGATACTCAACCGACATGATTTTCCTGGTATACAGCCTGGCTTCTTTAGGGACGAATTTCAGTTTTGCCAGAGACTTCCATAAGCCCCAGCTAGCCATGGACACCCCAGCCTGCAAATGCACCCCAAATCTGGGGCAGACGCTGGGCTGGATGGAGCCTGGGCACCTGTGCTAGCCCAGGGTGCTGAAGGCCACCATCCATTCCACTGTGGTGCCCCATGCTGAAGGCTGTACAGGCTGACTCATTTAGCCCTCATGCCAGGTCTGTGAGGCACACTATTACGATCTCCATTTTACAGAGAGGAAAACTGAGGCTTAGAGAGTATCTTAGCAGCTGTGAAGAGGGGTCTTGACTTTTCCTCCATCTCTGCCACTGACTGGCTAGAGGCACGAGGAGAGGGCAAGCTGGGGTATTAGCCTCTGCTTGGGATCTGGAGAATGTAAAGGGCATGAGGACTGGTTGTCCTTCAGCAAAGGTTTCCTGGGCACTGACTCTTGGAGTCAGGGAGGAAGGAAACAGCCATCTTTCAGAAGCCCACAAGCCCAGGAGCTGACAGGTCTGCAGTGGAGGATACGTGGAAGCAATACTTGTGAGTGAGCATGTGTGGAGGCCAGCAAGAGTGACCGGGAGCTTCGGTGATCAGCCAGCACTTACAGGAGGAGGGGACACTGGAGCTGATCACCAAGGGGCGAGGAAGAGCATGCTCTGCAGAGGGGACGTGTGGAAGACTTGCAAGCAAAGGCCAGCATGTTAGGGTCACAGACTGGCTGGGAAACAGCAGGAGAATGAGGGCTCCTCTCCGGAGCATACCCTTGGCCCCCAGGACATAGATAAAGTGCAGAATGACACTGGGTGTCCAGGGAAAGGGGGCCTCCTCAAGGAGTATATGCACTATGATGCTGGAACCCATCTCGGTGGAAAAAATGAAGTTTGGCATTTACTATAGTTAGAAAACTGCATGCCTCCGTGTGTGTCCCCGTGGGAATGTGGATGTGCGAGCATTCATTTGAAGCCTTATGTTGAAGTCCTTTTACATCCATGATCTCTTTTTATTTGCCCAAGTACCACGAGAGGTTGGCTGGACAGAAATATCCTCAAGGATAGATGAGAAAACAGAACCCCAGTGGGATGAAATGTCTTGCCTAGGGCCATGAGGCCTTGATAGTTGAAAAGCCAAGACCCATCCTGGGCTCCTGGCCCCTGCTCTATGCTCCTGCCCCTGAACCTTCTGCCCAGACCCCATACTATCTCCCCAGACCCCACTTGCCACAGGCCACTCCACCCCCAGGGCATTCTCCCCTGGACTCTGGACTGTGTGTGAGTCCTGCATTTTCATAGGAAAACCTCCACGGGGTCTGGTGGGACCAGGGGTGGGAATGAAGGGCTGAAACCAGAAAGATGATTATAGTGGCTACAGAGGCCAGAGCCCAAGGCCAGGCCAAGGGTCCATCTTCTCCTGAACTGCATTTATCTATCTATCTATCTATCTATCTATCTATCTATCTATCTATCTATCTATCTATCTAATCATCATCTATTTAGCTGAGCCATCCTGCCGCCTGTTGGCAGCTCAGTGGCAGCTCAGCTTGGGCCGGGAATTGAACCGCTGTGGCTCAGAGCTCTTAACCAACTGAGCCACTTGGCCGGCCCTCCCGAACTGCTTTTAGCATCCACTGCTGTCTTAAGGCGGAACTACCATAGAAGGGGCCTGGGAGGAGTGAAGATGCCCTGTGTTGGTCCTTGAGATGTGGGTCTCAGATAAGGGCCGGCTAATTTGACCTCATCTTTCCAGAATCTCCAGTGGAATTGCACAGAGGACAGAGGGTCTGGGGAGTCCACATCTGTCCCTTGCCAATAACAGTGGGCACTTACAAAGGTCTCACTTTGTGTCAGGCACTGCTCTGAGTGGTTTGCACATCTATGTTCAATGAATCTTCGCAAGCACCTCGGGAGGAAGGTACCCTTATTACCTCTGTTTACAGATGAAAGGGAGGCACAGAAAGACTCAGTGACTTGCTCAAGGTCACTCAGTTTGTAAGTGGCAGAGCTGGAGTTTGAGCCTAGAAAACCTGCCTGTAAGAACTATTCTACCCTTGTTATTAATAATAACCAAAGCTACCATTTGAGTAGTATCTCCTATGTGCCTGGTACTTAATTTCTCACAGCAACACAGTGGTGTAGGCATTGATTTTTTTCCACACTTCATAGATAAATCCGGGCTTAGCAGGCAGCCTGGGGTGAGGTCATGTCAGATTCTCCCAGATGCTATTGATAGGTCTGGCTAGAAGGGCCGTTTGACTCGCTGTGTAACTATGGGAAAGAGCATTCTTTTTCAGAGCCTCAGTTTTCCTGTGGCTTAGGCTTTCTGCTCCTGCTCTCCTTGCTTCAGCAAGTGGCAGAATGGATGGGGTTGTGGGTGCTGTGGGAATGCGGGTCTCGGGGAGACTCCAGACTCCTTCCTTGCCCCTGTTGACACCCCCAACTCCAGGAGAAGTTGCTCCTCCGTTGTTTTCGCGATTGGTTAGTTAGAGTGGAGGGTGGACCGGGAGGTACTGGGTGCTGAAGGTCTATACTGCGTTCCGAGAAGTCAGTGAGGTCGGGTAGAGAAGGTCCAGCAATGATCTGGGGAAGGGCTGAAGGGCCCAGAAGCCACGTGCTCGGGCAGTTCTATAGGGAGCTGACCGTCCTCAGGAAAAGAGCAGCACCCCCGACTGGAGGGGGGGGGGTGGGGGGAGGTAGAGAGGACGCGGACAAAGGAGGCGGCCGGTAGCCCAGCTGTTTTGAAAAATGCTTCCTGTTTCTTTAAAGGCGCTCGCCGCTCGGGCGGCCGGGCTGGGAGGCGGCGGCGGCGGGAGCTGCCTGCTCTCCGGCCGGCGGCGCTGACTGATCTCGCGAACTGGGCTTCTGTGTAAACTGAGGCTAAACAAACACAGATGGAGCGCAGCGGGCGTGCTCCAAAAATGCTGGCACGGCGGCAGTGACTTCAGATGACACTCTGAGCGCTCCGGGAATCGACTGCCCGGCGGCTTCACGGAGCCGGCGGCGCAGCTGCCCCGGGCGCGGGGGAGAGAGGAGAGAGGACGGGAGGGAGGGCGGGGGGAGAGCAAGGGAGAGCTCGAGCCTCGGAGGTGGTGAGCGCAGCGGCCGCCAGGCAGACCCCGGCGCCGCGTGCAAAGCGAGCGTGGCGGGCGCGCATCCCGGGCAGCCCCACGCCCCTGCCTCGCGCGCTGCCCGCGCCATGAAGCACATACCGGTTCTCGAGGATGGTCCGTGGAAGACCGTGTGCGTGAAGGAGCTGAACGGCCTCAAGAAGCTCAAGAGGAAAGGCAAGGAGCCGGCGCGGCGCGCGAACGGTTATAAAACTTTCCGATTGGACTTGGAAGCGCCCGAGCACGGCGCCACTGCCACCAACGGGCTGCGGGATAGGACCCAGCGACTGCAGCCGGTCCCGGTCCCGGCCCCGGCGCCAGCCCCGGTGGCGCCGGCCGTTCCCTCAGGTGGGGGCGCGGACACAGCCGGGGATCGCGGGGGCGCCCGGGCGCCAGAGGTCTTGGACGCGCGGAAACGCGGGTTCGCCCTGGGCGCAGTGGGGCCGGGACTCCCCACGCCGCCGCCGCCGCCGCCACCACCGCTGCCTCCAACGCCCCAGAGCCATGTACCCGGTGGTCCCGAGGTACAGCCTTTTCGGGAACCCGGCTTGCGTCCCCGCATCTTGCTGTGCGCACCGCCTGCCCGCCCCACGCCGTCCGCGCCCCCTGCGCCCCCCGAGACCTCAGTGCGCGCTGCGCCCCCCACGCGCCCGGGGGAAAGTTCCTACTCGTCAATTTCACACGTAATTTACAATAACCACCCGGATTCCTCCGCGTCGCCTAGGAAACGGCCAGGCGAAGCGACCGCCGCCTCCTCTGAGATCAAAGCTCTGCAGCAGACCCGGAGGCTCCTGGCTAACGCCCGGGAGCGGACGCGGGTGCACACCATCAGCGCAGCCTTCGAGGCGCTCCGGAAGCAGGTACCGGCTTCCAGCCGCAATACCCTCACTGCGCCGGGGGACGTTTGCCAGAATGGGTGGGTGAGTGGCCCGAGGACTTTAGGGAGGATGAGGGTGTGTGTGAAGGGCAAGTTGTTCCTGCCTGGTCGGCCCCAGGACCCGGACAGATTTGGAGCTTCCTAGAGTATTGACATTTGCCACAGAGCTGGTAGGGATTTTTAGTTTGCAAGCTGGGGGTGACGGTTCCCTCAAGGCATGCCCTGGTCCCCCACTCCCCTCCCCGGGGGGTGACCCTGTCTGCGCGTCTGACTTCAGCCCTCATAGTTCACTTTTATGGCAGCATTTGTCTCCCAGAGTCCCTTGGGCGCGGTGAGGACTGGAGAGGGGGAATGTGGGAATCTGTCGGGCGGGGCAGCGGGGGAAGACCCTTGTCTTCAGGCATTTGGTCTGCGGAGGGGCCTGGGGTTGCCGGAATATAAGGGTCCCGCATTCCTTCTTCAGCCCCTAGCTCCCAGTAGGGATGCTCCTACACTCAGGTTCCTTTTGGGCTCTGCACCCCTTGCCCTAGCGTCCTTAGGGACCCGGGCTACAAGCCTGCTCCTCCTCCCCAGGGGCGGCCTCAGCAATTGGCTGGTGAGAGCCTTCCCAGGAGATCTCCTCCACCGCTGCCCTTCACCCCGTGGTGCAGCAGGCAGGTCTGCCGAGGGGACCAGTTAGTTGGGGGCTACCTTCAGAGACTAATTCTGGAGTGGGTCAGTTTGGAGCTGGTGAGGGCTGCCCTCACTGGACAGTGACCTGGCGGAGGGATGGGGAAGAATATTTGCCTAGAAATTATCCATGGTGGAGACGGACAGTTTTATAATTCCACTTTAGATCAGATTGGGATTGCCCTGGGATTCTAGGCTTCTCATTTTCTTAGAGAGAAGGGAGATCTAGGAAGAGGGTAGCAAGTGCCCCCTGCCCCCACCCCACATAGGGTGTGTTGGATGTGACTGGTTTGAGTAGTCAGGTTTTTTCTTGCTGGGCAGTGACTTTCCGGTGTGACTCCAGGAAAGTTACTCAACCTCTCTGGGCTTTACCCAACAACAAAACAGTTCAGAAAAACATGACCTTCTTTTCCGATCACACTATGCTCGTCCTCCTGCTGGTGGGGTGGGCAGTGGTGCCTGTGTCCATTCATGAGAAGGGAATTGGACTGCTGGGGAAAAGAGCCCATATGACTTTTGAGCCAAAGTGTCTTCCTTGGGTTTGAGTAAGATGTCTCCCCAATGAGGTGGGGTGGAGGGGTCAAGTAGCTGTCACAGACCAGGCTGGGCCATTGACCACAGCCAATACAGTTGGGACCCTGGGCAGTGGGCCCAGTGTAGCATTCAGTGCCCCCTTGGGCAGTGGTCTGTGTCTGAATGCCTGGGGAGGACAGCAGCCTGTAGAGCGTCCTGCAACCCACTCCCCAGGATGGAAGGATGACAGAATGTCAGAGAGATGCCTGTCCACCTGCCCACCTTGCAGCTATGGACACCCTTCCCAGATTGGGGAAGCCACATGCCCAGAGCATCACAGCTGGTGCGTAGCAGAGCAGCACTGGCACCTAGGTCCTTTGACAGCCAGTTCAGGCCCTTTCTACCCTTCTGCCTGCCTCTCTTAGTGCTGAGAAAATATTTCACAAGACGGTGAGACTGAGGCCAGAGAGCTATGTCAGGTGATCGAGGCCCTGTGGGTTTTGCACTGCACACCTCCTTGGCATGCCATTCACTAGACTCCGCTGTGCTGGCGCCTCCTTGGCATGGTGCAGTCACAGCCTGCATAGCTGTGTGCCACTGTCATTGCAGAGCCTGGCTTCGAATCAGTGTCAGTGAATTGCTCCAGCGCCCAGGCTCCTGACAGCTCTGCTCCTCAGCCTGTTGAATGCCCCAGAGCTGTCCACTCTCAGCACAGGCAAGCCAGGCGGCCTTCTGTTTTGTCTATCCCACTATCCTCTCAATCAGGAAGGGATCATGAGGAATGGGGCTGCTTAGCCACAGAGGTGGAGGTGGGGATAGGTCTGGGAGGGTGTGTGGCAGAGGGGCCAGGGTGGTGGGTGTGTGGGGCAGATGGTCAGGCTGAAGCACATGCCACCAGCCCAGCTGCACAGGGCCCTCCCCGCCGCCTCATGTGAAGGCCATGTGTGCACAGCTGGGCCTGGCCCATGTGCAGGGCTGCTCCAGGGCCAGGTGGGAGGGGGTCGAAGTGGAAGCCTGGCCTTACTGGGTGGATGAGGGGAGGGGCCAGAGCTGCGGGCCTGTGGCTCCTGGCAGAACCTTCTGGCTCACAGACTGTGCTCATCCTTGGGGCATCTGGTGTGTATGCAGATTTTCTCGCTCCCCTGAAAGCATGAAGCCCCTCAGTCTTGATGGGGGAATGGCAGCCTTGCAGGCAGAAGCCTGAGGCAGTAGTGAGGAGCCCTCAGGACCTGCTGAGGTGCCTCTTCATGAAGGAGGTGCTGAGTAGCGCCTGGGCTCCCTCCTCTGCTGTCTCTAGAGTCTCCCAGGGGACCCTCACCAAGGGAACTCAGGATGGCCCAGGAGGGGCTGTGGGGATGGTCCCCCACCCCCCACACATCCGTCCTTTTCAGACCCTTCTATCCTGACCTCTCATATCCACAGTTACCAGGGTGGCAGCTTAGGAGCTTGGTTGCATTGAGCCTGTGGTTGCATACCTGTAGTGCTACCTTCCCATGTTACAGGTGAGATCACTTTTACAGAGAGGTTAAGCAAGTGACTGGGATTTATACCCAGGCCTGTCTGGCCCTGGGCCCATGGCTCTTAATTACTAGCCTCGTTGCTGTGTAGAAAGTTGGGATTTTAAAGAACCTCTTTAAATAGAGCTTGACAAGGACCTTGAACAGCTCTGCATAGAGTGGCTTTGTCTTAGGTAGTCTGCACTCACTGACATAGGAGGTTAGAGAATAGTAATTTCAAATGGAATAAAGTACTGAGCTGTGTTCCGTGGACAGTGTTGGAGCTCTTTGGGTCCAAGAGTCTCTGTGGGCTTCCAGGAGGGCATCTTGGGCTGGGTCTGAAGGGTGGATAGGAGCTGGCACAAAGGCCAGAGGGTGGAGGGCTTCCAGGCCTGTCCTGCACTGGCTGGTAGGTTCCTGGCTTTGTTTCTCTGTAGCACCTTTCTGCGTTTGCCCACAGCTGTTCCTTCCAGAGGTAGCAGGTATTCTGATGCCCATTTTATTGGCGAGAAAACTGCAGTCCCCTAAGGTTATGGACCTGCCTAAGGTAACGTGGATGGCCAGAGGTACAGCCAGGTTCTCAGGCTCCCAGGCCAGTGCCCTTTTTGCCTTTTCCTGCTTCCTGGAGCTTGGATAGGGTCCAGCTTGGGGTGCGTGAGATGGAATGTTCTGGGGGCATATGGAACCTTGTGAAAAATCCCCAAATTTGCTCCTCTGAAGCTTGAGAATCTTTGTGGGGTGAGCTTAAGACAAGTCCTTTTACTTTCCCGGAAGTTGGACACTCTCTCAGCAGATGGAGCCAAGTGACCCTGCTGCCTCCTGTGGCCCGTGTCCCCGACCAGGGTGAGCAGATAACTGCTGTGGGGTCCTTTGCATGCAGTAGGATGGCTGGGCACTAGAACTTTCTGTGGGTGCTCAGAGAGGTAATGCACAAAGGCTGGGGTCCCATAGGATCAGTACAGAGCTCTCTCTCTGTGCCTTAGAAGGGTAGGCTGCCCACCTCCCCACTTTAGGCTATAGACCCCCTTCCAAATTCCCAAGCAGTTGCTTCTGGCTAATTGGAAGGAGCCCAGTTAAGGTGGAAGTTCAAAACCCAAAACATCTTCCACCAGCTGAGAGTACTGTGTAAAGAAGTGATGCTTTCTACCTCTTGGGGCTGTTTAAAGATGAATGTAGGCATTGTATTAAAAATACTCAGCCCTCGGGCTGGCCGAGTGGCATGAGTTAAGAGTTGGCTTGAGACGTCAGCCCTGAGGAGCAGGGCCCGGGTTCGGATCCCATGTGAGGGCCAGTGATGCTGCGCCCTCTACAGCTAGGATGGTGAACAACAGCTTGACCTGGAGCTGGGCTGCTGTGAGTCACTGACTACGGCTTAGGCTACAGCCCCTGCTGTAGTGGGCCGCCATGAGCTACCATGAGTGACTGGCAGCCAGCGTGAGTGGCTGGCAGCTGGTGTGAGCTGCCTTGAGCCGTCATGAGCGGCTGTCCAATGGCTGGCGAGCGACTGCCTCATCTGGGAAGAGCGCAATGATAATACCAACATGGGCCAGTGAAGCGACGTCCTCGATGGCTAGACTGAAGAACAAAAGCACAGCTGCTTGTCTGTTCGTCTTTCCTGATTTCCCAGTGCTGTTCTCCTCCCTCAAGTCCCCAATAAAATCTTAAAAAAAAAGAAAAAAATTACTCAGCCCTCTGGCTGCCTTAGTAGATAGACCATGATAAACAGAAAGGGTGGCCTGGTTCCAGTGGTCATGGAAGGTAGGCAGGGTTGTTAGCCCCACTCTCCACACCAGGAAACCAAGGCTCAGAGGTGAAAGGCACTTGCCCAAAGTCACACTGCTGGTAAGTGCCCAGGATTCAGACCTGCGTTTTCCTCCCTCCCTCGGCCGCCTAGAACTAGAACCTGCTGGGGATTCTCACTTTGAGGCAGCTGCCACGGCCAGGGTGCCTCTGTGCTGGGCTGTCCGGGCCTGAGGTGCTGCTTCCTGGGTACCAGGAAGACCTGGAATTAGCCAGGTGAGCTGAAGAGCACACCTCTTTCCCCCCACGGGAGAGGGGGAGGAGGAGAAGGAGGAGAGATCTGACCAAAAGGTGCCCTTGTTGTCCCATCTGTGGCCACCACTGGTGGTGGGAGCCAGAGAGCCCTGTGGCCATATGCCTTCCTTGGGCACCAGACAGACAAGCTCCTGGTTCCAACCAGGTCTTAGATGAGGGACCTGGGGCCCAATATGTCACCTCTTTGTTTCCTTATGTGCAGATGGGATAATAACCTTTTGGGGTGGGGGAGTTTTAAATGGGATAAAACTACTTGTAAATAGCTACCTGAGTGCCAGATAGGTGCTCAGCAGGTGGTTTTCTTGTTACACCTGGACTTTGACAGAAGCAAAGTGGGACAGAGTGACAAATCTGGGACAAAACTGGCCCAGAACCTGGCACAGGGGCCCATAGGTTGGCCTTGACCTCACCTGTTGTTCTGTATTCCCACTTGCAGATCCCTCCTGGTATCCCTGTTTCCAGCTGGCAGGGTGGCTAGCTGTTCAGGGGCGGGAGATCACAGAGCTGGATCGCTCCCAGCTTGGCCTGTGGGTGAAAACAACGCTAGGGGCCTGTGTCACAGAGCTGTGCCCTGTGTCCGGGGCCTTCGCCAGGCGGGCAGTCCTTCCCCAGGGTGCCCTGTCTCAGGATTCTCAGGAACCTTTCTGTCCCACAGACCTTGTTTATTTGTTCAGGCTGATAAAGCAGGATTCTCTGGCTTCTAGCTGGGAACAGGCAAAGTGCATTGTTCTGCTGGCTTTTCTTGGATGGGTTTGGAGCTGCAGCCAGGGTGGGAGTGGGAGGTGGGAAGGGGAAGTGCATGGGAGCTGGCGTGCTCTCTGTCACCTCCCTGCCCCTCCCTGGGTTTTCCAGCCTGGTGAGGGGCAGCTTCTTGGCTGCTGGAGCATTTTAAAAGGTTTCAGACAACGTTGCTTCTGGTGTAGGTGCATCTCAGGACCCCCAGGGTGTGGGGGATAAGCAGGTGCTGTGTGCTGTGTCCTGGCTCCGCATTTCCTGCCTCTCACCCCCTCTGGAGCCTCTCTTTGGAGACCTGCAACACCGGCTGTACTAATTTCACTGACTGTTTCAGGCCTTACTCTCTGGGCAGTGCATATGCCATCTCATTTAATCCCTACCATGCTGTGAGGTCAGTCCTGTTAGCAATATGACAAGGACACCAAAGCTCAGAAAGATTATGTCACTCGCCCAGGGTCTCATAGCTAGGAAGCTACAGCTACAGCCAGGAGTTGAACCAGGTGACCAAAAGGTATGTGTGTTTAAGCTTTAGGTCAAATAGCTAAATGTCTATCCTCAGAATGAGGAAAGGTTTTTGAACCCAGTTTTAAACATTCTGGAGTCACCTAGTGAATATGGAGGGAAATCATTCATTTTTTTTCCATTCATTCCCTCATTCAGCAAACCCTTTTTAGGTCCTGTTATGGGCAGGACCTGTGCTGGGCTCTGCAGACAGGGCCCTTGCTCCACAGCTTGCAGGGAGACTGACCATTAAATAATCAGGAGTTAAGGACAGATGGGGTGCTACTAGAGCACTATCAAGGGCAGGTGCCCCCCTCTTTCCCCCAGCCCCTTGTTTAGGGTTGGGGTGGGGCAGGCAGATAAATCTCCTGGACAAAGTGAGGTTTAAAGTGAGATCAAAGTGGATGTTACATTTAGGGGCCCCATTTGAGGTGACTGTCTTGTTCATGCTTTGTCCCTAGAGCCTAGAATAGGATTTCTCAACTTCAGCACTGTGGACATTTTGGGCTGGGTATTTCTTTTTTGTGGGGATCGTAGGATCCTGTGCATGACAAGATGTTTCCCAGCATCCCTGGCCTCTACCTACTACAGGCCAGTAGCACCTCTTCACCTGTTCCCTGGTAGTGACAATCAAGAATGTCTGCAGACATTGCTAACTGTTCCCTGAGGGACAAAAATCGCCCTCGGCAGAGAGCCACTGACCTAGAACAGTACCTGGCATATGGTGGTGCTCACTAAATCCTTGTTGAATGGATGCGCCACGGTGGTTCCTCTCTCTGGGATGAGGGTTAATCAGTACCAGATACTGGTGACAGGGATGGATGCTGGTATAGATCCTGGCGAGTCAGAGAGAGGAGGAAACCTGGAACCTTGGTTTCCAGGCAAGCTCATTTCAGCCGTTTAGATGAAGGGTGCCTCATGGCAGCAGTGGCTCTGTTGGTTAGCACCCTGTCAGATGGACTTTGCGGTGACCTTTCCACATTACAACTCATAACTCTGCTGCAGCCTTCATAGCTTTTTGCTCATGCAGCATAAACTTTGGTGGACAATGTTAAAAAATTAGAGGCTCTAGCTCTTCACCCAGTATAAATCCCTGCGCAATTAGTGAGTGTCTAGTTGTGATGAATCACTGACAAACGTGTCAAGTCTGGTTGGGGCTCTAAGTATTTATTCACCTGTCGTATGCCCAGCCGCATCCCAGGTTCAGAGGGCATAAAGAAAAAGGAAACCAACCCTGTGTGTACCCCCCAGCTGACCACTGGCACTTTAACTTTTAGTATGTTCCTAAAGTCTCTAACTCTGTTATGACATTATAACATCACTCTTGAGTGTGAGTTCTCTGAAGGCAGGAATCACGTTATTATTCGTCGTCAGAACCTCAAGTGCCTAGCAAAGCAAGTGTCACTGAATGAGTAAATGAATGGAATATCAGAGCTGAAAAAAATGTCTGTTCGCTCAGACAGACTTCTTAGGGAGGGTTGGGGACAGAGCTCTGTCATGGTGAGAACGCACTGTGCACCATTCAGACGGATTCTCGGGTACGAGCTAAGCCTCATGTCTTCCCCTACAAAACAGGAATGTGGATACCTTTCCGAGTTTGTGAGTGGATGAGCTGAGATGTGTGTGAGGAAACAGCAGGTGCTTAGAACAGAGAATAAAATCCAGGTTGAGGGCTTAGACGGGCCACCTCCGGTGCTCAGAAGTCCCCTCTCAGGGGGTGTAGATGTCACTGTGAGAGGCCCCATGCCTGCCTGGCTGGGGTGCCCCACAGGGTGACGTTCAGCACTGAGACCCCAGCAGCTAGCTCCTCCTGACGCCTTCTCACCCCCACAGGTGCCGTGTTACTCCTATGGGCAGAAGCTGTCCAAACTGGCCATCCTGAGGATCGCCTGTAACTACATCCTGTCTCTGGCGCGGCTGGCTGACCTCGACTACAGCGCCGACCGCAGCAACCTCAGCTTCTCCGAGTGTGTGCAGCGCTGTACGCGCACCCTGCAGGCTGAGGGACGTGCCAAGAAACGCAAGGTATGCGCCAGCCACTCAGGCAGCAGCCTCTGGGGGAGGACAGGGAAGATGGGACAGGAACTTGGGGTACTCCACACTCATCCAGGCTTCCAAAGGTCCAGCGAGATCAGCCTCTTGGAGCTTTGCTGGGGTTACCCCAGCTTCAGAGCTCCTCAGTTCCTTGGGATTATGGACATGACCCTACTCCTGGTAATGGGGCTGCTGGGGACCTTGGACAGTCACCTGGGACCTCTGGTCCTGGATTTGCTTATCAATGAAATGAGGACAGTTTATCTCTGAACCTCTTTCTGGCCTTTTGTGCTCTGGTGCTGAATTCCCCACGCAGCCTCTGATAGCTGTTGTATCAGGATGAGATCCCCTGAGCAGGTGACAGCCCAGGAGAGCCCCTGGGCATGTTTTGGGAATGTGACTTGGCCTGTGGATTACCTGAGTCCGTGCATTAAGGCAGGTGATATTCATTCATTCATTCATTCTGGAGGGATTTGCTGAACCCCAACCTGAGCATGCTGGGAAATACTATAAAGATGACAGACATATGGTCCCAGTCCCCACACACCTCACAGGATGGTCAGAGAGATAAGGGCAGGGCTGTGTGGTGAGGAGGTTCTAGAGGCCTGTGCTAGGGGCTGTGGAAGGCCAGGCAGAGGGGGACAGGTTACCTCTCCTGCCCAAGGGAGTTTGAAGGGGCACCTTAGTGTAAGTGGTGTTTGAGCTGGGACCAGCAGGACAACCAAGAGATCACCAGGCAGATGAAGCAGGGAACAGCATCCAAGGCAGAGGGAACAGCCTGTACAAAGCCTGATGCATTTGGAGAAATATATGCAGGAAGAAAAGCGTTGGGTACAATTATGATTCCCAGATGGCCTGTGCTTCCAGCGTTTCCAGTTGGGGGCCAGTGCCAGGAAGTGCTTATGGCAACCCTCTGCATCTCTGTTCTCACAAAGCTAGAGGGGGAGCAACAGAGGATGGGATCCAGCCGATGTCTGTGAGGAGGGTGGTCGGCTCCCCTGGGCATCCAGGGATGGGGAGGGTGGGGAGCCAGGCAACTAGCACCTTCCACTGGTTCCTTCTTCCTGGCCCACTCCTCCCCCATCCTTGACATTCACCACCCCCACCTGCTCCTCTTCCCAGCAGGCCCTCTCAGGGTTCTCCAGGTTTCTGAGGGGCCCTGGGCCCCGAGTCAGGGAGGCCTTCCATGGGCTCTCCAGCCTACACCAGGGAGGGCCACAGCATGTCCTCATAGCCAGCTGCTGCTGCTGCTACGGTAATTGCACATTACATTCCTGGGAGTGATTAACGTGGACCAATTAGATGAAATCTTCATCAAGTGGGTGAGAGGAAGTACCACTGGCTGCTTGCAGGGCGGCTTTCCACTGGAAAGTGACACGGGTAAATTAAGGGTGTGATTGATGGCTCATGCAGCGCTTTGTGACAAAGGAGGTTTGTAAACTCTCTGTGAACTTCCCCTGGCATTCGGGAGGTCTGGAGGTATGGATGGGCAGAGTGGGCAGGCGCCATTTTCTCCATCTGCCCCTCATTACCCTCTGTCCCCAAGTCCTCCTCTCACCTGCCAAAGACAGGAGCACTGAGACCCCCTCCCTTTTTTGTTCCTTGATTGGAGTAGAGAGTGTCCTGGGCTGGGGAGGAGGCTGATGCCTGGGAGGTGAGAAAAGAAGGGAGAGTGGGGTGAAGATGCCCAATGGAGATGAGGTTTTGGCTTCCCCTGAAATCATCTCAAATCTAAGACACATTGGAGACCATTTGGTCCAGCCTTCCCACTGTCCAGATGGGGAGATTGAGGTGGAAAATTGTGGTTAAGAGCATCAAACAACTCTGACTTCAAAGTCCTGGCTCACCACCTACCAGCTATGTCATCTTGGACCCATTTCTTAACCTCTTTGAGCCGCAGTTTTCTCATTGATAAATGGGGATGGTGGAAACATCATCAGTGATTTCTAAGGTCCTTTCCAGTTTGACTTTCCAAGAGGAGGCCTTACCTCACCTCAGAAGGGCACTGGGTAGCTTGCATCCTACATTGCCCTCTCACCAGTCACACTGTCCCAGGGCTGTCATCTTCCAAGTGCTAGGCCTGGGCAGTGACCACTGCCAAGAAGACTTAGATGGAGGGACAGGACAGGTTCTGGAGCTGCTGGGACCTCTGAGGGCTTCTTTGGGTCCAGCAATCTTCCCTGATAGGTTGGTGGCTCACAGGACCTCCTTACTCCTGCTGTGGTGCCTTCCTGCATCTCTGTCATCATGCAGGTGTGAGTTCCAGGGTGTCCTCAGGGATGGTCTCCAGTGACCTGCCCAGTGGGTCTGAGTGGGTGGCTGGGGCAGGCCTCTGCTTTGTTAACCAGGGCCAAGGGGGATGGTGTTTCTAGACATTCACTCATTCAGTCAGTGTTTATTGAGCATCTATAGTGAGTTACATGCTGGGGAAATTCTATGCTGAGCACATACATGGACACTGTCATGGGATGGTGGTGGTGGGGCTCTCCATCGTCCCTGTAGGCTGAGGGTGTGGATTTGGGGCTCCCACCCCCTGCACCACTGAGGACAGCCTGAGGGTTTGAGGACGGGAGAGAGCCAGGCTTACATTCTAAGGAGGGAGATGGAAAGCAAAGAAAGGAAGAAACTCGAAAACAGGTCAGTGTAAGTGATCAGCTCAAAGGAAGTCCTCAAGAAGTGGGAGCTGGGACGGGGATGATCACGGTTGCTGCTGATGACAATCTGAGCTGTCATACTTGAGGATGGCTCCCTCACAGTTAATGTGCCCTGAAAGGCTGGACGATCCTTTTTCAGGTCGCCTCCTTGCGAGACTGTACTCCAGTCCTCTGAGATCCCTTGCAGCTCTGACGAGTTGCCCTGTTCCTCCAGACCTGTGTTAAGAATGGGATTTAAGGTGAACCCGGCTCACCCCCCAAGATTCCAGGCGCATCCTTTTGCCCATCTCAGCCCTGTCCTGCCGGGGTGGGGGACCTGCATCCCTTGACTGGTGAGTCCTCCATCTCTGGGCCTCCCAGGATGTGACTTGAGGGTTCAGAGCCCCATTTGGGAGCTCCAGTTGTGCAGAGGGCAGTGTCGGTGGCCGTGCAGCAGAAAGATGGGCGGGAGGAGTGCAAGGGCTCTGGAGAGCTCAGTTCTAACTCCGGCTGCAGCCGGAGATAATGCACGTTAAGCAGCTGGCTCTGGGCCATGTTTCCGCAGCTCCTGTTTTTAAAGCAGCAACTCCTTGGAGCTAAGGAGGAGGGGGAAGAAAGAGGGAGGGGCAGAAGGAAGAGGAGCGGGGAGGAGGAAGAGTAGCAGCACTGTTCCACACCTGGACGGGGCGGGCCTTGCCAGACCTTTGGAATAGGAAAGGGCCAATTTCCACCATCTAGGGCATCCCCTTCCAGTGATTTTAAGCCATTGAGTATTAACAACAACAACAGCAGCAACAGCAACAGCAATAGCTACTGACATTGATGACATAGTTTAAACCCTGGTGATAAATGGCCAGTAAGTCCCCACCTCAAGTTGCTCTCAGGCCCAGGGTTGGGGGTATGGAGAGAGAAGAGGAACCATGATGAATTGAGTTAAGGGTTGGGCAGAGGCCTGGGCAGCGACTGGGGACCCTGGGGCCATATGACTGTAGCCTGCTGACACAGTCCAGGAAGGCTGGTTCTGCACGGCCAGGAGTTTGCTCCTCACGCTGTGGGCAACCTGGAGTCAGAGGAGGCATGACGCTGGTGCAACTCCCTCTGACCTGTGTTTTTTTTCTTTTCCTGCTGATTTCTTAGGAGGGGAGGCTTTTCTTGGTGATGGCTCCAACTCCTCTTTGGAAGAATGTCTTGGGTGTCAACTTCTGTAGCTTAGGAGCTGGGGACAAGCTGAAGTGGCACATTGGTTTGGCATTGGGGGTCGGTGGGAGCCGAGGGTGTTCCGAAGGGCCCCTTACTCTCTGAGTGGCTGAGCCCAGGCCTTGGATGTGACCTGGTGGTGGCACCTGTTCTTTCTGGGGACTGTTCCGGAGCCCCTGAGTGTGCGAGGCAAAGTCTCGAAAGCTCCTGCTCTGGCTGGGTCCAACCCCCCGTGTGCAGGGCCTCCTGCACCTCCAGGATGCCCACTGTCCTGTTTCTGTCCCCACCCGCTATGTATTGGATTGTCGGAAAAGTCATGATGCATTTTTGCAACGAAAAACATAGAAAAAATACGTCATGACTTTTCTGACAACCCAATACATAGACACCCGCATTGGAGCCTCCTCAGTCTCTATTTCTGTAAGGTGAGTTGTTGCTGGAAGTGATTTCTAAGGCCCTTTCCAGTTAGACTTTCTGTGCTGAGGTCTCATCAGCTCCTTTTTCTGTCTAAAAAAGGGTGTTACTCTCAAAAGTCCCTCACAGAGACTGCAGGGACTCTACAGTAATGTGCCCTGAGAACACTGATAACTACCTGATGTTCTCAGAGCCTGGATTACATGCGAGGCAGGGTGCTTAGTACTTCTGGCATATCACCTCATTGATGCCTCCCACCAACCCTGCAAGGTAGGTGCTGGTGTTGTCCCATCACACGAATGATGAAAGCGAGGCTGAGGGCCTGAGGAACTGCCCAGGGTCACCCAGCCAATAAGAGAGGCATGGCTGGTGGCTGGGCTCCGCTTCCCCACCCGCTTCCCCTACCCTCCCTCATTGGAAGTACGCTGGGTGAGAGGAGGTTCTGTTTCCAAATCCTCTGGCCAAGTTATTGAGTTAAATACCATTTGCTTTCAAAGCCCACAGAGTCCATCTATGCTGGGAAAAAAGGGGAGGTGGGTGGGAAACCACCATCAAATTTCCTTTTAGTCATAAAAATGGATGCAATTTATTTTTTTCTGGCATTCCAATTACATAGACGTTTGTCGCCAGCTGTTGGTTCTAACATGGAGTGTTCTCTCAGCTGCCATTTCTCCTCTCACATTTGACACCCCCAAGTCTGGTAGGAACTGGGCTGGTGGGATCATTAGCTGGGGAGCCTCACAGGTGAGTTCAGAGCTGCGCCCCTCCCCCCACTAAATTCAGCCCTCCCATGTTTCCCGGTGGTCCTGAGGTGGAGTAGAGGCTGGGGATGCTGCTTCCCTCTCTCCTTTCACATTCTTTTTACCCCACCCTTTCTCTCTCCTTTTTCCGGTTGACCCCCTCCTGACATGAATCACAGGTCCTACTTTTCTCTCCAGCATACTGTGTATGAATGAAAACTTGGGGTCTCAGGCATAGTGAACAAGAACTAACCAACAACTTATGTTCAGAAAGTCACAGAGACATGGGAGGCCCCCCTCTAATGCTCTAACTGATAACCCTTGGGAATGTAGAGACTCTTTAGAGAACCCCCTTGGAGCACCTCTTTGAGCCAGGATGCCCCTCTAGAAACCCCTGCAGAGGCTCTGTGGCCCATGGTCCTGGACCCTGGAGAAAGAGCGTCTGTGTGGGTGGTGGTTAAGTCGAGAGAACATTACAGTTCTTTCAGTTCCCTGTGGTGAGGTCATTTAACTTTAAGGCACACAAAAATACAACAGGGAGACCCTTGGCATGATCATGAAGTAGGTGAAGTGTAGAGCATTGGGGCTGGAGACCTGTGTTTGAGTCCTGGCACTGGCGCCTCCTAGCTGTGTGACCTTGGGTGTGTTACCTAACCTCTCTGATCCCCAGTTCTCTAACCTCTCTGATCCTCAGTTCTGTCATCCCTAAAGTGAGAGCCTTCCTTGCTGCCTTGCTGGCAGATTTAAACAAGTTCCCGTATGAGAAAGGGCTGGCATTTTCTCAGTGAGTGCCAGAAAGGAAATCTCATGAATTTATAGCTACAAGGTAACAACTTCATATGGAACACCAGGAAGGAACATCTCAGAAAAGGGCAGTCCCCAGAGGTGGATGAATGACTGACCAGCCAAGATGTAGATGAGAGTGAATAGTTCTGAGTGAGGGACTCCTCCCCTCTCCAGCACTTCAGGGCAAAGCCCTACTCCTGTACCCTTAAAGGGGGGCAAGCGTGCAGCCAACCCAGAAATCCCTGGGCTTCTAAAGTTCGTGGACTCATACCAAAATACATGCATGGCATTGGTTGAACCCAGTAATAATGCCAATAAACAAACTATCACCAACAATCACACTGACCATGTGGTGAGTGCCCATTGTGTGCCAGGCACCTCACATACATTATCTCTACCCCCATTACACTAACCCCTCCCCCCCATAGCGCAGAGGGGAAACTGAGGCCCTCTTGCTCAAGTCCACATGATTAGAAGTGGTGGAGCCATTTGGAGCCTGTGACTTTTTGGTTTCAAACTCCCGGCTCTTCATTCCTGAGGCCTGCCTGTCCCTGAAGTTCACACACTGCCCAGCAGGGTGGCCTGCGCCCAAGAGGCCCCCAGCAAATGCCGGGTGCAGGGCCTTGCCCAGAGCAACCGCTCTTATGTAAGCAGCCAGGCTGCAGCACGTGGAGGCTTCATTAAGCTGCGGGAAGCCAATAGCCTGGTGGTGGCGCTGGGGGTGGTTCAGGGTGGGGTGGGCTAGGGGGTGTCATCAGTCCTGAGCACCCCCAGCGCTGTGCCGCCAGTGAGGCCTGACACCGGGTTAAGTCGCCTGGCGGCCTCTGGCTGCAGCTGGGAGCGCGCCTGGTTCCCATTCGGGCGCTGTGGTTTTGATTAGCTGTTCTCCGAGGCGGGCCTGGTGGTGAGTCCATGGGAGCTCCGCTGGAACAGAGGGTCCCCCGCCCGCCGCCGCCGCGGCCCCCCCTCCTGGCAGCCCCAGACTCCAGATGTTCCGAGCTCTCGCTGGGAAGGCCTGCTGGCGCCACGGAGGGCAGAGGGCAGGGAAAGCACGCGAGCTGGAAGCCCAAGCACTCAGTCACCGCAGGCCTTGGCAGCCCGCCCAGCCCTCTGCTGGCACATTCCCCAGCTCTCCCCTAGCCATCTGTTCCCAAAAAACCCTTTCAGAGCCTCATCATCACTCAGGATACAACAGCGTGAGCAGCTGGTTTGGAGGCAGCAGGGAAAACCGTGCAAAAGGTCCTTTGTGAGAGAGGAAACTCGCTTATGAATAACAGGGCTGGACGCCGTAAAAGTTGGCGGCTGGAATTCTTGTTTCTCAGGCGCCGCTGTTTTCTCTTGACTTTTTATCTCTGGTTTTTATTTTGTTCCTCCTTGTTTTCTTTTAATGTTGTTTCTTCCTCTTCTTACACCAGTTGTGACTTTTCTTCCTCCTCTAAGGTGCCTGAAGGCCATTTAATTAGTTCCCCTGGATACTGCTGAACTTTTTTTTTTTTTTTTTCTCAAAGCTGTTAAAATTGAGAATGGTTGGAAGTGATTGTTTTCATAAAACCTCGGCTGGAGGGGACGGGTGAGAAAGAGGTGTCTGGGAGGGCACAAGGCCCATCAGTGAGTTCAGCAGAGAATCATAAGATGAACATAAGGATGTGCACAGTGTCCACACAGAGGGAAGGTGGGGGGCCAGAGGTAGCAGGAGACCCCCATCAGCTCATCAGAGAGCAACACAGGACATTTGAGAGTAGAGTGGCATTAATACACATCGCAGCTGGACGCCTCAGCTGATTGCAGTATGACATGAAGCCTTTTTAAAGAACTGGCTGCCGCCACTGCCAGAAACTTATGGAAGATGTCTATCTGGGCATCTCTTGGGAGCAATCACCAGGTGGCCTGCTGAAGGCCTGTGGGATGCCGGGGCAGGGCTGGCAGCTGGGAGGCCAGTACTGGGGATGAAAGGAGAGGGCAAGGCCTGGCCACCGTCCTCACTCTCCCCAGAACCTCTGAGTAGGAGCTGAGAGGCCTGGGGCTGCCAGGTGGAAGTGAGGCGAGAGATGCCTCCTAGTGTCAGAGGGTAGTCATGTGATGATGGGAGTGGCACAGGTCAAGGGCAGGAGATGGGGGGTTCCCCTTTACTTCCTCAATTCCCTGCACCCCTTTCCATTGGCTGCCTTTCCCCCACTGTCCCCCTGCAGCCGCTCACCCCAGCAGTGGAAAAAGCC